CGGGAGAGAGAATTTCCTCATTTTTCCTCGCCTTTGGAAATTGGCTACTTTTCTAGGCTTCAGAATGAAGAAATCGAACGCTCTAAGAAGAATTTAAGAATTTATGTGTCTCCGACCGCAGAATATGGAACGGCGATCGACTTAAACAAGGGCTATGAGCAGTTCGTTAACCGCGGTGCCTCATATTCGATCGAACCTCTCTTGAAATGGGTACGGTCGGTTCGCGAGGAGAAGAAGAGCAGTGGAGAACCGTATGATTTGAAAAGCTGCACCAGTGGCTCCGACTTTCTCTGTTGGCGAGGCTTGCTGAGTCGAATAGCCGGTTCCCCTTATGAGCGAAGTGACGGATGGATGTTCGCCGTCGTTCGCGTCTGCGATGTGTACTTACTGTGTGAATTTGCTACAGCCGAGAAGCTGCTCGAGGAACAGTCGATGTCTGAGCGCGAGCGTCGCATGTGCTACTGGGGCTACTCGTTCGAAACTCAGGTCACAGGCACCAACGACGGCAGTGCGAGCGATCGTTCGTCGCAACCAGTGCAGACCGGCGAGCAGTACTGTTCGGTCATCATCACTCGGTTGGACACCAACCGATTGCTGTACGGCTGTGAGGTGGACTGCATTGACCGAGACTCACGCGAGTACGTCGAATTGAAGGTCTGTCGCCTTCTGGAACATCCCGGCCAAGTTCGCACCACATTTCTGCATCGCTTCCGAAAGTGGTGGCTTCAGTGTTTCCTTGGCGGGATCAGGACTTTAGTCTGCGGCTATCGATCCGATCAGGGCATCATCCAGACCATCAAGACGATCCCGGTCGATGACCTTCCTCGATTGGCCCGGGAGTTTTGGTCTGCAACTGTTCTCTTCAACTTCCTGTCGCGAGTGCTCCAGTTTGTCCGAGAGACCGTTATTGAAAATGATGCTACCGCCGTTTATGTGTTCCACTGGAACCCCCGAATGGCTACCGTTGGATTCTACCGTTCGGATGACAGTCAGTTTGATTTTTTGCCCGATTGGTTTCGCTCAGAATTTGTACTATAACTCTGTACTCTCTTTACTTTGGTTTTCGTAATAAACTTGTTTTATTAGTTTACTTCATTCTGATTCCCGTGCAGTGATTTCGATGCCTTTGATTTTACACTAGTTACGAAAGCCAAAGTTTTAGCAAAAATAATGCTAATCTACAAAAGTATTTTGTTTTTAAGTAGATTTTTCTGATAGGACGCTATTATTGGAATTACATGTCTTGTTCTTTGCTAACAATGCTGTATGAGAAGTTTTTATATGGGAGTCGTTCGAATTTCATTTGCGTACCGATGAGAATAAGAACCTTTTGCATATAAGTTATTCATCACCTGTTGTGCTCGTTATTTGATTACAGTTAGTTTGAAGTCGGCCTTAGAGTGTCAGTGTTGAAAATCACACCTGAGCCAATGACCAAGTCTGTATTTACCTGTTTTCCTCAATGTTGTACATGCGCTGTTGCGCTGTCGTCATTCGTTATTCTTTTTGCTTTGTGAAGTTGTAGCTAGAAGTGTTTTTTTTCTCTGCGACGGTTGTCAGTAAATCGAAAATGGTTTATACCGCAGAATGTGTGCTCCACACTGACTACCTGGATTGGCAAAATAGCGCAACGTCCGGTTACTTGTACCTAAATAGGCGGTGGGAACGACGGAATTATATTTTTACTGTATCCGTTGTTTCTTCTTAAAGTTGTAATCACGTTCGGGCCAAGGCAGTGGCACTTTAGGGCAACTTTTCAGAAGTTTCCGTCCTTCCTAAATTTAATAAGCTCTATAAAGTTGGTTTCAGTAAGCGAAGTTGTCAACAATTCAATCTAGTTGCACCGGGCAATGCGAGCGGTTAGATTTGTGCGTCTCTTCTAAAGTACGCTAATCACGTGTCCAAAACTTTCCGCTAATTTATTTTTTAATGAACCTGAAATAGAGTAGTGCTTAGCATAACGTGAGTCACCGAATTGACCTCCAAAAATCAACGATCAGAGAAAACCTCATGGTCTGCCAATGATTTTTCAGTAACCAAGCGCCAAACAAGTTAAAATAATTATTCAGATTTACGATCCCTCATGTGATCTAACTTGTACTTTAAAACGTTGATCAAAGCAGGATAATTTATGAAGTAGCAGTTGTGACGCACTGGCCGTCCTTCTACGCGCTGCTCAACTTCTTGCCTTTCTTTTATTAGCTTGTCCCTTTTCAAAGTGATGATGAGCTTAAAAAATTCGAAATGCTTTAGAAACTATTATTTAATAATTGAAAAGTAGTTACAGCAAGACAGAGCTTCGACGTGCATGTCTAAGACACTATAGCTATAGTACTAAAAATAAGACAAAAAGGTTTTGCGTCATCAGTACAGATTGACATAAATATATGCTACAGTGTTGAAAGAAGCCAAAAATGGAATCATGAATAGTCTGATAAAAGTAAGTTAATATATGTTCACTGTTATTTATCGCCACTTAAACTGAAGGTGACTGAACAGGCGAGCAGGTGTGTGAATCTATTGCGTCTTGCTATGAAAAGTGGCCTTAAATTAATCTTAGGCAAGGGTTGGCTACGGCTTAGGTTATGTTCCTCGTCGCAGCTACTGCCTCAGTGAGGCGTTTCCAGGTTTTGTTTTTTCTTCAGCTCTTCAACAGTAAGTTGATTCTTCACAGACAAGAAAGAAGTTTTGAAATGGACATATTTAAATGCATTTGCTATAATGATTAAAATCATTTCTTTAGGGGGTGGAGTAGGCAGTTTGCTCGCACTTCACAACGGTAGGAAAATTATATCAGAAGCCGGTAACGGTACGCCTGGAGGGAGAGGGCTCGAAACCGTAAGTATCGGGGTCAGTGTTGCGGTCGGCGCGATTCGTCACCAATTAACGGCCGGCGCAAGTGATTTGAAAGAAATGTCTCCAATTATAACCGCAAGCGTCTTGCTTATTACAGTGGACATTTAAAACTTACCGATCTAAGTTGGTTTCGATTGAACATCAGCTGTTGCCTAAGTTCATCTTCTCTTATGCACACGTTGTTCACCTTCTCTCATGAGCAGGTCGAGCGTTATTCCTAAACATTGATTGTCAGGCAATCGAAACGAATAACATTCAAGAGGTTGATAGGGCAGAAAATCGCTACTTTACTGATTTTAACCGTGGCTTTGTTTATGCAGACTGCAATACACATACATAATTTGACAATACTTCCATAGTGATAGATAGCGGTTCTTCTGTTACTGTTTTTGCACGGCGCCCGTAACGTATCGCAGTATAAAGTTACAATTTTTAAAGGCATCTGACCACATCATCTGATGGTTTATTAACGTCTCATGGTAAGATTATCTATTTTTTGCTTATCTAGGACATAAAACAAGGATGTCTGCTAGCTTGAAGTCAACGAAAATCTGTTATCAGATTAAAAAAAAAGACATAATCAACGATATCACTGAGACAATGTCGGGAACGATTCATAAGTATGAAGTGGCTACATGGATATTTGTTATAATTGGATCATCAAGGAGGGGGTCAATGAGTGAAATGCATGCGTTCAGGGAGTGAAATGTTATGAAATGGGCAAACAGCTGCCATTCCTCTGACAGGCGCTTTACTTATTTGAATTGGTGAGGAAAGACTGCTTTTCTTGGGTTGATGTCAGTCTTATACAATGCAAAGTAAATCGCCTGATCGCCAAAGTATTGTCGATACAATTAGTTTTTCAGATCTTGAAAACTAAGAACAAGGAAACAGTACGTATCATCTAATATTAGCGTTTGACAATTTCAATGCTGTTGTCTGACACCGATAAATCAGAAGAAATATTACAAGTCAGAAAACGCCCACTTAACAAAGCTTATTCTTCAGAACATGTATAACTGAGCTTCTCAAATCCCATATGTCAGTAATTGCATGCCCCTTATGCGGAGTAGTTTTTGTTTACATAGACCAGAGAAAAACAGCTGTCCGCCTCTCTGATCGATGAATTTCTGACTGAAGGCATCGTTTTGGCATCTGTTGTCATCCTGTTGGTCACTACTCTTGCAGCGCTTTCGATGCGTCATTTCCTACAATGCAGGTTTTTCTTAAACGCAAAGCTATGAATTTCTGGCTTCTACTTTCACAGAATGTTCTAAGTTCTAATATTCGTCTGTGCTATTGAACTGTCAAAACTGAAGATATCTTCAAACGGAAACCTTGGTTAAAACTGTCAATGCTAGTATTTTATATCCACAGCATTTAATTTGTTCATTTTCTTTGTCTGATCTTATTTACGGGATGATAAGTTGCCAGCATCAATAAGCCTTTACTTAATGAATCGGTCAAGATCACGAACCCAGTTCAAACATGAGACATCATCAGTCTATATGGCAAATACGTTTGTTCCATCTGGGCGTAGGTCTGTCCGATGACCGCCTGTCACGCTTTGTGAGTCTGCCCTGTGCAACCCTGACTATATTCCCAAACATTGCAACCATGTTCTTTTGAACAGATTAAGGAGCGGTCACGAATGAAGTTATTTATTACTGCTATCTTGAAGGCTTCTTTGGGCCTCATCACTCGAGCTATCCTTCGAAAGTGTCTGATTTCTGCGCTTTGTATGTTCAACGGCTCTCTTTCGATGAACATCCAGAACTCACAGTCATATGCGAGAGTAGTTATGCGAAAAGACTTGAATACAGGCAGCAGAGTGATCCCGCTCAGCTTCCTTCATCACCGTAAGCAGCTTAGAAATGCACTGGCGAATCCTCGGTATTTTTAACTTCTCTCGCTAAGACATGATCGGTATAACCATCTCATTTTTTCCTTGGATTGACTGTCGCTGTTTATCTGTCCGTTTTCATGATCACTTCCACGCGTAGTTTTCAAAATATCGACCTTGATTTTTAAAAAAAGTACCACCGGCAACGTTTAGCCTCTCAAATAAAACACGAGATAATATCATCTACAATGTTGCATTAATGAATTCGGCGTATTTCATTCTTACAAAAGTTTCGCATGAATGGTTTAATTTTCTGAGGCAAGAACATCACATCTTTTGTACAACATGGAAAATTCATTGCATTACCCTTTAATGAAGGCAGGATATAAATGTGTGCATAATTGTTTTTAGCAAAAATAGCGCAATAAATCGGACGGCTGACAACTACGATAGTTTCGGCATGCTGCTTTAGGTCGATCTTCAAAACCGTATGATGCATTTAACATTTCCAGCGAACCATGAATGAATAACTCTGTGCTAACTAATTAATGATAGGAATAGCGTTTGCATCGTAAGTTTAAACGATACTACTTTTTGACGAACTTGGAAAAGTAATGTCGGTCGTTCTGATAAGTATTGAAATTCCATTTTGTTTATTAGTGGCATAGGTACTGCCAACAGTTCCAGCAAATGAAATTTAAAAGAATTTTGTCTTCCTTACAATACACAATACTTGCGAATTATGCATACAGTATCTAATGGCGGTTAGTGTTCGTGTTGAAGATTACGCTAAGAACGATTTTCCCTATTTTTCCTCGTCTTTGGAAATGGGGTACTTCTCTAGACTTGGAGATGAGGAAATTGAACTTTCTAAAAGGAACTTAAGGATTTATGTGTCCCAGACAGCACAGTATGGAAGGACGATCGACTTAGACAAAGGCCATGAGCAGTTCGTCAGCCACGATTGCTCCTACTCGAAATGGATACCTCTCTTGAAATGGATACAGTTGGTCCGAGATAAGAATAAGAGCAGTGGAGAACCATATGATTTGAAAAGCTGTGTCAACGGCTCCGACTTTGTCTGCTCGCGAGGCTTGCTGAGTCGAATTGCCAGTTCCCCTTATGAGCGAAGTGACTGATGGATTTTCGCCGTCGTTCGCGTCTGCGATGTGTATTTACTGTGTGAATTTGCTACAGCCCAGAAGTTGCTCGAGGAACGGTCGATGTCTGAGCGCGAGCGTTGCTTGTCCTACTGGGGCAGCTCGTTCGAAACTCAGGTCACAGGCACGAACGACGGCAGTGCGAGCGATCATTCGTCGCAACCGGTGCAGACCGGTGAGCAGCACTGTTCGGTCATCAGCACTCAGTTGGACACCAACCGATTGCTGTACGGCTGTGAGGTGGACTGCGTCGACCGAGACTCACACAAATACGTCGAATTGAAGGTCTGTCGCCCTCTGGAACAAGGCACCGCTTTCGAAAGTGGTGGCTTCAGTGCTTCCTAGGCGGGATCAGAACCATTGTCTGTGGTTATCGGTCCGAGCAGGGCATCATCCAGACCATCAAGACGATCCCGGTCGATGACCTTCCTCGACTGGCCCGTCAGTGTTGGTGACAACCGTTCTCTTCAACTTCCTGTCGCGGGTGCTCCAATTCGTCCGTGAAACCGTTATTGAAAATAATGCTGTCGTCGTGTACGTGTTCCACTGGAACCCCGGAATGGCCACCGTTCGATTCCACCAGCCAGTTGATCTTTTGCCCGACTGGTTTCGTTCAGAATTTGTACTATAACTCTGTACTGCCTGTACTTAGGTTTTCTTAATAAACTTTTTTTATTCGTTTGCTTCATTCTGACTCCTGTGCAGTGATTTCGATGCCTTTGTTTTTACACTAGTTACGAAAGCCAAAGTTTTAACAAAAATGGTACTAATCTACGAATGTATTTGCTTGTTTTTGTTAATTTGACTGGTAGACGCTGTTATTATCCGAAATACCTGTCTTCGGATTCTTTGCCAGTAATACTCAGTGAAAAGTTATATAAATGTTTTGTTTTCCATTGAAATTGTTCACTTTATTTTCAGTCAAGAAAGATTAGGTCTTATTAATGAAGGTATGAGGTATAAAATGCAGTTGGGCAAAGGCTATGACCAGTAATGTTAGTTGACTCGATTAGAGAACTGCCGTTAAAAGGATTTCGCTAGGAAAAGCAAGATGCAATGACGAATAAAATTTGCTTATTATAATTGTTTAATCTGATAAAGTCGGACTGTTGTCAGCAACAAAAAACGCGTAAACAACATTGGAATATCTCCGTGTCATTTCGATTGAAATATCTTAGATGGGTAAAATTCTTTTGTCATTAATGCTACTTAATGACGGATTAAAAATGCGTACTCGCTTCCTCTTTTTGACAAGTTGGTATGGGTTTACTGAGTAATGGTTATAGGACATTCTCTTTATGGTGCGTGTCGTTCGAATTTCATTTGCGTACCAGCGAGAATAGAAACTTTTCTTGCAAGTTTATCTCTTGCTATTTTCTTTAATTGATTTCATTTAGTTTGAAACCAGTCTTAGAATGCTCGTGTTGAAAACCACATCTGAACCAGTAATGTCTGTACCTGTTTATTCAGCGTTTCACATACAGTGTATTATATGGAAAGTGAGGTAACGGCGCTGAAAAATTGTTAATCCTATAGTTGTTATAGCATAATAGACTTGAACTTAAAGTTATATGTATGCCAGTTACTTTCTTTAAAGTGTCTTATGACTACGTGAACGATAAATATTGGATGAGATGTAGCAGGTACGATGCGACCAATCTTTTGGACACTTGTTCTGCTCAGGCAGATAATTAATTTCCCGTATCCGTTCTGTGGTTTTCCTTCCGGTCTCTATTGTAGGTATTTCTACAGATGCAGTTAAATGTTAAACACTCAGAGTCGTCTTGCTTTAGTTAAGCTTTGCTCTTGCTTAATTCAAAAATGTGGCATTGGAAAGATTTATGTGAGAGGGGACTTTCAAGGTGGATTAGGACTTATGGCTAGATAGCTGCTGTGTATTGAACAGTTGACTGTGTATTGAACAGTGTATTGAGCAGTTGTATTGAACATTTTGGTGCAGCGTTTGAATATTTTGCGTCGAGGGTCGAAAGTTTGAAGCTAATGTTTAGCCCATGTCATGGTTATGACAAAACGTCAGAGGTGACAGAAGTTTTCTGAAGGTTTTCATACAGCATTGAATTTGACGTGGTTGATGAACGAATCCTAAAAAACATTTTATGTTACAATATTCTGCACTATTGAGATCCCTACAGAGGCTAATGCATTGACGCTTCTTGGTAATGAACTTCTTGTGCTGTAGCATCAAAACGGTGCCGGGTGCCGTGAAACATTTCACCTGAATCGAATAAGTCCGTTCACGCTTCAAACCTTTCCATGACATGTTAGTTCTAAGGAGATCTTCCCATCTTGTTAAATGTTTTCCAGGCAGCCATCTGTCATCAGGCTTTGCGTTCAATACCCGCTTTTCAAGGTAGTTTTGGCCTATTCGTTGGCGAAGCATTTTCAAACCAGTCGTTCACTTTAGTTGAATATTCGAATTTTCCTCTTGCAGCAGCATTTGACACCATGCCATATCATTTAACTTCTGTTACTGATCTTAAAATCTTCATTTCTATCGCTTCCAGATTTCTTTTGAATTCACTCTTAAGTGCACCCGCCTCCAAGCCATGCAGAAACATGTACCGATTGCAAGATCTCTGTATGAACAGCTTGGTAGTACTGTTAACGTGTTTGCTCTTCCAGAATTTCTGTTTCTTACTCTCTGCTAATGCCAGTGCACAACGCCTCTTAACTTCGTTTGTCACTCGTCCTCTGCGGCCAATATATCCCCAAGATAGAAATGTTCTGGTTCTTTTTCGACAACTTCGATGTCAGGGGTCAGACAATCTTTGTTGTCGGTTCTAGGAAT